TCGACCGACTGCATACGATAAGAATCTTAACTTACTTAAAATCGGTGTAATAGATGTCTTTTTCGCCTGTTTCTGCGACCCACTTTCTCTCTTGGGCGATGTGAACGGACTCAAGAGCAACTGTTCCTCGTCTCCTGTGACGTCTTCGTCTTCATCACCGGTAACATCTATGCTATCAATGGGAATGAACTCTGCCGTTTCCTCATCGACATCTTCTTCTTGCTCCAAGGCCTGTGGAAATACATAAAGCTTAACAGCTCAATAAAACTACAAGAAAGCCGGACGGCTCTATGATCAGTTTCCCGCGATTTGCATACCGAAAGGAACGTGGCGAATGCTGATATTTTTCGACGCAAATCGACAAATTACCTTTTGCAAACGTTCTATTAAAACTGCCTTAACTCCACTCTTCTCTAAACCTCTGTTTTCGAGCTCCTGACGGAGATCTACTACTCGTAAATCGGTAAGTTTTCTGCCGCCCAACAAAACACTCGCCATGTTCTCGCATGTGGTTCGGCGCGAGCAAAGGCCCGAGCAAATCTCCCGGATGATGTATCTCCGCAATGCCTTATGGGAAAACGACCACACGGGAAATTTTACACGATGGATCACGAACGATCACGGAAATATCCGAAGATCGCAGGCTCAACGACTTCCTTGTCATAGCAACGAAAACAAAATGGCTGCCTTTCCATTTCATTTCTGACAAACTAAGTTGCAGTTTGTTTTGCTTTATAATGGCCCAGGCGGATGACTTAGTAAGTATTGAATATGTTGACAGTTTGCAAAGAAATTGTTTCATAGCGTCGCTGAAACGTAAGCAGTTATTTCTTCCATGAAATTTTGAAGTTCAGAAATATATTGAATCCACATGAACCGAACAGACACTTAGTTGGAAAAACCTGGCTGCTAACAAGAAGCAGAATCCAAGGGTTAATTTTTTCAGAATGATGAATTTTCTTATTCTCAAAATATATAAGGAATAAATTGTCAGTTATTTTATTTCTCCCCTTGGATAGCGACTGCTCATCTAAGTCCACAGATTAATCAGCCATTATTTTGTGACGGTCCCCTCACAGATACCCAGTGCTCATTATACTCCTGGACTCCTGAATGGAGAGTCAAGAGACACTTTGAGAATTAGTGTCTCGCTGAAGAACACAACACATGACTCCAGCTAGGGTGACAAATGGTAAAATCCAAAATTTGCCGAGAAGCTAAGGCCCTTGTTGGAAAATCCAAGACTGAGGATTAAACA